ACTTTATTCAATTTCTGTATATTTCCTACTTGCTGAAGGGCACAGGTAAATATGACATCTATTATAATGGGTTTATGTGAAGATTGTTTTAAGTTCTCTTAAATTAGTTGTTATTTTTTAAAGTCTACTAAATGTTCAGATTGATAGCTCTCAATTAAACTGTAATGTTTTTATGCATATATTGTTTAATGGCTATATTCAATGGTTAAATATTAAGAAAAAGAAAAATTTCCTAGAGACATCAGTAAGTACTGGTACCAGTAGCTGGGTTTCCAAACGCTGAATTTCGAATAAAAATGCCTTAATTCGCAAAAAAGTTTTTACGCTCGCTTGAGGTGGATTTTGACTTGTGCGAAAAAGGGTTAATGTGAATAATGGGAGATGGAAGTGCATTTTGCGAATAAATTCCTCCAAGCGCATCAAGAAAAGTCATGTGACTTTGCGCTATGGGACGTCATAACCTGACTAACCAGCGAACAGCAGCATCCACCTCCGAAAGCAATGACCGCATTCATTGCGTTTCGTCTGCTCGCTCTGAGGCGCAAGTAATTATATATGAAAATTATTATATTCTCCTAGTTTTCTTAGTGAGTTATAGTGCCAGTTTATCAGGAAGTGACGATTTTGTTCTCTTTGACTCGTTGGATGGAAACGATGCTTGTTCGCAAATGTTTTATGCGATATTCCAGTTTTGCGCACAAGTTAAATTCGCAACTTTGGATGGAAACCCGGCTAGTGATACTCTCCTTCAGTCATAAATATTGTCTTTATGTTGGTTCTACATTAATCTGAAGATTGAACGCCACATGTCAGTGAAAACCATACTGTGCTCGTAGCACATGCTCTTCAATTGCACGCACAAATGCAGTGGCGCACGCTGTTTATAATTTCATATTAAAGCGCAAAAGAAACTACGAGCATGCAATGTCGTATTATGTCATCAGTTAAGTCATGAAGTTACCAAAAAGGTGATTAAAACTGCCTTAAAACTGTGCATGCATGTAACTATTTGTTATATATGAGTCCCATTTAAGAACATGTCTCTGAAATGCTTTTCAAAACTGTCCTGGGGTCTCCCTCATCTAACACACCCGATTCAACTCGTCAGCTCACAAGTAGAGACTTTAAGACCTGAAGCATGTTAGCAAAGGTAAAGAGTTTTGAGAAAATAGGATGCGTGTCAGATCCGCGTGATGTTCAGCAGCAGCAGCTCTTAAAGTAATAGCAACCAAAACAACCTAATAACCAGCTGCTGTGATGTCTTTTCATCAAAGAACTAAAGAAAAAAAGAGGAAATCAATAACTTTTGTAGCTTTAAGATTCAAATTTAGATTTAAATTAGAATTTAGTGTTTAACTTCAATTTCTGTATATTTCCTACTTGTTGAAGGGCACAGTATGACATTTATTAAAATGGGTTCACTTAATATGTTCACTTAAATTAGAAGTTATTAGTGCCAGTTTATCAGGAAGTGACGATTTTGTTCTCTTTGACTCGTTGGATGGAAACGATGCTTGTTCGCAAATGTTTTATGCGATATTCCAGTTTTGCGCACAAGTTAAATTCGCAACTTTGGATGGAAACCCGGCTAGTGATACTCTCCTTCAGTCATAAATATTGTCTTTATGTTGGTTCTACATTAATCTGAAGATTGAACGTGAAATTATTGCAATATAAAAGTATATTTAAAAACTTTAATGTTAGGTGGGATTATTTGCGATTAATTTCAGAAAAAAATGTGCGATTAATTAGTTTTTTTTAATCGATTGACAGCACTAATTCACGTAGAAAACAGCTATTTTAAATTGTAATATTTCACAATTTTTACTGTATTTCTGATCAAATAAATGCAGCCCTGTTGAGCTTTTGAATGGTAATGTATTTGCACTGAAATGGCTTAAAGAATGTATTTTTACCAACCAGAGGAATCAATTAATAATTAGAATAAGCATCATCTAAATTAACATTGTAAAACATTTCTGAGTGATGAGAAACCACTGAAGACTGGAGTAATGATGCTGAAAATTCAGCTTTGATCACAGGAATAAATTGCTAAATTACTATTATTTTACAATAATAATATTAAAATATTCAAAATAACATTAAAATAGAAAACAGCTATTGTGAACTGTAATATTTCACAATTTTTACTGTATTTCTGATCAAATAAATGCAGCCCTGTTGAGCTTTTGAATGGTAATGTATTTGCACTGAAATGGCTTAAAGAATGTATTTTTACCAACCAGAGGAATCAATTAATAATTAGAATAAGCATCATCTAAATTAACATTGTAAAACATTTCTGAGTGATGAGAAACAAACTGATTAAGCGTTTACAACTGATTCATTAAAGAATTTAGTGGTTGATAACTTTATTCAATTTCTGTATATTTCCTACTTGTTGAAGGGCACAGGTAAATATGACATCTATTATAATGGGTTTATGTGAAGATTGTTTTAAGTTCTCTTAAATTAGTTGTTATTTTTTAAAGTCTACTAAATGTTCAGATTGATAGCTCTCAATTATACTGTAATGTTTTTATGCATATATTGTTTAATGGCTATAGTCAATGGTTAAATATTAAGAAAAAGAAAACAATTTCCTAGAGACATCAGTAAGTACTGGTACCAGTAGCTGGGTTTCCATCACCCTGCTTTTATGCGCATTTTGAAGTATCGCATCAGAATCGAGAGATGGAAACGCTGAATTTCGAATAAAAATGCCTTAATTCGCAAAAAAGTTTTTACGCTCGCTTGAGGTGGATTTTGACTTGTGCGAAAAAGGGTTAATGTGAATAATGGGAGATGGAAGTGCATTTTGCGAATAAATTCCTCCAAGCGCATCAAGAAAAGTCATGTGACTTTGCGCTATGGGACGTCATAACCTGACTAACCAGCGAACAGCAGCATCCACCTCCGAAAGCAATGACCGCATTCATTGCGTTTCGTCTGCTCGCTCTGAGGCGCAAGTAATTATATATGAAAATTATTATATTCTCCTAGTTTTCTTAGTGAGTTATAGTGCCAGTTTATCAGGAAGTGACGATTTTGTTCTCTTTGACTCGTTGGATGGAAACGATGCTTGTTCGCAAATGTTTTATGCGATATTCTAGTTTTGCGCATAAGTTAAATTCGCAACTTTGGATGGAAACCCGGCTACTGAGAGACTTAAAGGGGTCACATGATGCTGCTAAAAAGAACATTATTTTGTGTATTTGGTGTAATGAAATGTGTTTATGCGGTTTAAGGTTCAAAAAACACTTTATTTTCCACATACTGTACATTATTGTTTCTCCTCTATGCCCCGCCTTTCTG